AATATTAATAATTAAAATTTTTAATACCAGTAATTTATACTACTTTTAAAATCTTACAGCAAGAGTATATTAAATAAAATTAAAATAATATTAATTAAAATTATTATATTCTATAAATATTTTCAGAACTAGAAATCTAAGATTTTTATTATATTTCTAAGTATAATTAAAAAAATAATTTTAAATAAATAAGTTCTTATAAACTAAGATCCTGAATTAACAGAAAAGAAATAAATTAAATAAATTTTATTTAAATATTATTATAATTTAGTAAATATTTTTTTAAAAAAAAATTAAATATTCTTCTGTTATTCTATTTTTATAATTACTAGATAAAATTAAAGAAAGAGAACCCGCTGAAAATAATCTTTTTATATAAAATAATTCTAGAAAAATTTAAGACTATCTAATAATATATTATTAAAAATTTAAAAAAAGATTTATTATTTTTAATATTATATTATTTATCTTCTTTATTCTCATGGTATAGAAGTCCGGAAGAAGATTATATCTATATATTAATTATAAAAATTAAATATATTAATTTATAAAGATTCTTATCTTATTCTATTTATTAATAAAATAATAAATTAGCTGAAAAATATTAAGATCTTTATTAAATTTAATATCTGTCAAGAATTTTATTAAATTTATATAAATTCTAGTTCTAAGAATTTAATAATATTCTGTACTTATTATAGAATTTATAAATATTATATATTATTATTTAATCTTATTAATAATCTGGCTGCTTTCTAGTAATTTATTAATAAGATTCTTATAGATTTCCTAGATAAATTTATTATTATTTATATTAATAATATATTAATCTTCAGTGAAAATAAAGTTAAATATAAATTTTATATATATTAGATTCTAGAATATCTCTATACTGCCAGTCTCCAGACTATTATCTATAAATATAAGTTTTATATAATAAAAATAAAGTTTTTAAGCTTTATAATCTCTATTATTAATATATATATAAATCTGGCTAAGACTGCTGTGATTATTAAATAATAGTATTTTATAATTATTAAAAAAATCTAGTTTTTTTTAAACTTCTATAACTTCTACTGTTAATTTATAAAGAAATATAGTTAAATTATAAAATTTATAATTTAATTAATCTGGAAAGATATTTTTTTTATAAAATAATATTTATAAGAAAGTCTTCTAGGCTTTAAAAAAGATTTTAATATTTATATTTATATTAATATATTATAATTTCTCTAGACCTATACAGGTAAAAATTAATATTATAAATAAAATAATAATAGAAGTTCTTTTTTAATAAATTAATAAAATATAATATTTTATAATTTATTATTTCAAGACCATATCCCCGCCTGAATATAATTATAATATTTATAATAAGGAAATATTAGTAATTATATAAATTCTAATAAAATAGTATACTAAGCTAAAAAATTATAATAATTAAAAAAATTTAATATTCTTACAGATTACTGAGTCTTAAAATATTTTATAATTACTAAAAAATTTAATATTTAATAAATTTATTAGATAAAAATACTTTTCTATTATTATTTTATTATTTACTATTATCTAGAAAAAAATAATACTCTAATTAATTATTTTATTTATAAAGAGTCTACTACTAGATAATCTAGAAATTATAATTTTTAAATATTATTAAAATTAGATTAACTAAAGTTAAAGATTATTTTTAAATCTTAATTTATATTTTTTAAATCTGCTGTAATAATAACTCCCGTGGAGCTAAATCTTTATATAATTAATTATATATTAAATATTAATTATATTTATCTGTCTTTGGAGCCTCTGCAAGAGAAAATATAATAATTAAATATTAAATTTTTTCTGGAAAATAAATTATTATTATATTAAAATTAGCTAGTAATTCCTGATAAGAAAGATCTTCAAATATAATTATAAAATAAAATTTATTATTAATTATTATTTATATATTTTAGATACACGAAGATGATAGTTCTTATAAAATATTAATATTATTAAAATATTTAGAACAAAAATATTTAATATTATATAAATAATTATTTAATATATAAATATAAAAATATTTATTATAATTTATTTTCAAGCCTGCTCTATCTTCTGTTAATTTTTATATATTTATAATAATATATTTTAATAGATTTTTACTTCTTTTTAAAAAATTATTACAGCTATAATACAGTCTTTATTATAGTAAATTATTTTAATAAATATATAATCTTCATTCTGTGTACTAAGCAGATATTTATATAAGATATAATATATCTATTTATAAACTGGATAAATGCCTGGACAGAATTATTAAATATAATTATTTCTAATTAGAAAGATTAGTTTATAGCTAATTTCTAGAATAAATTTTATAAAATCTTATAGATTAAGCTAAAACTTTTTATTATATACTATTTCTAAACTGATAAATAAATAGAGATTATTAATTAATATATAATTTAACAGCTTATCCTGTTTATTAACTATTCCTACAATAATTAGTTAAAATTATTATTTTTAATTAATTTTACTGTTATTACTCTCCTGCATAAATCTACTGAAATATTATTATTTATAATAAAGAGAGATTATAAATCTAGAATATTATTTAATTAAATATTATCTGTAGATTTTCTACTGTATACAGTTATCTAAAATCAGATATAAAAGTTTATTTATTAAATAAAACAGATTTAGCTTTTTATTTAAAAGAGTATTTAAAAGGTCTAAAACTAATAAATTTAATAAATAAATTATTAATATTATCTAGAGAATTTTAATATTAATAATAAAATTTTTATTAATATAAAAAACTAGTACTAGAATTAATCTTCTTAAAAGCTCTCTGATAGCTAGTATAGATTAATTCTAATTATTAATAAAATAAATAATATATATAAGATTTATTTTTAAAAAAATATATAAGTATATCTGATCTTTTATTTTAAAAAATTATATTTATAAAATTTCTTAGAAATTCTATCTAATTAAATTTAAGATACTGCCGTTCCTATTAAAATTAATAATTAAATAGAATAAAAAGTTAAAAAGATACTGACTAGTTAATTATATTATAATTATCTATAATATAGAGTTAAATGATTTACTTCAGATAAAACAGATTATATATAATATTTAACTAGAAATTTTAAGAATATTTTATTTTATTTATAAAATTATTATATTAAATATTTTATTTATTCTAGATTCCCTAAGTAACTGCTGCAGTGGCTGGCTATTACCAAGACTGATAAGTTCACACTGGATTATAAAGATAATAACATACCCCTAGCTGAGGGCAGCCAGTCTTACAAAGAAAGATAATATAATAGCAAGATATGATAAAAATATATAATATAATTTTTTATTTTATTTATTTTATTTACTTCACCTTGCTTGCTTATCTTTATTATTTATATATAATCCCTTATATTCCTTTCCTTTCCTCCCTCATGTTCGATATTTTAGTTTAGACGCTCTGAATATGAGTCATTGATTGGCGCTCACAATTTTAATATCAAGATTTATATATTATATTTTTTATTAAGTCTTAGCATAGATAAGATATACTTAGATTAATAATTATTTATTCTAACTATTTATATCCTTATTTGTAATCACTGTAAGACCAATCTTTCTAAATCTTAAGAAATTAAAAGAAAGAAAATGATATACTTGATTCTATTTGAATATATCTAATGATAATACTATTATAATGGTCATAGAATATCTTTGTAAAGCTTTTATTTATATTATTTGATAGAATCTGATTATCTATTATATTGAAAATATTTTCTATAATAATTACTAAATATTATAAAATCTTATTAATAAATAAGATTAGAAAGTACCTCTAATAAAAACTTTTCATTATTAAATATTCTTGATATATATAAATATCATAGATTATATTTGGTTCAATATGTGTTTAGAGATATAATAATATTATATCAATTAAATTTTTCTGTTTTTTTTCCATAATTATTTATATAAATAGATAGCCTACTATGAGTTATTTATTTATTTTTAGAATATATTATTGAATTCTGTTTCTTTATCTTATAGATCTTTATAAACTGTGAATCTTGAGGGATCAGTAATTTTCTCTAAAGAAATCAGTATCCTATAAGTGTCAGGATAGTATAGAACCGCTATCAATGACCTCACGACTCCTATAATCACCGTAATACGTCATCCTGATAATCTTGCTCCTGATAGCTAGGTTGTTCTATCACAAGATTTTAATATATCTAATTAAAAAAATCCATGGAGGCAGGAAACAGATTATAAGCTAGCCTCAGATTATATCATTACCTATATTTTTTATAAGTATTTCCGCAGATGAATAACAAAATACCAAGCTAGTACTATAGCGTATTAGTACAGAGCACGAAAAGATGATGAACTTTCTTTCTTGTTTTTAGTATTGGAGCTCCTTTTCATTCAAAATCCAGCTGTGAAAGATCATTATCAGTACATAATGGATGTACATAGAGTAGATAGTGGTTCCCTGCATATCGCTTAAAGCGAGGGGCGAGCGTATGAATAAGCATCATTATCATCATCATCACTGTATCTGAATAGGCCCGCTTGAGGTGGTCAGTGAGCAAGCGGAGGTGCTGGTGCTGACGTGGGAATGCACTGTCTGGGTTGTTCATATCCTCCGCAAATTCGTCGAGCTCTGAAAGGAAATGAACAGGATATTTTATGAGGAAGTGATTCTGGTCCTCATATATATATATATATAAGTTTTGTAGAATGTCATAAGCAGGGCAATAATTGGAACAGTTAAATTACTGAGGATATTTCTAACCCGAGGACGTCTCATGTGCCCACCAGCTAGCCTTATCCGATGTACGTGCCTCCGAACTAGTTGAGGTTGTGACTGGTGAATTTGTATCTTATACATTTCTCCATTACCCCTGCCGCGATCTCGGACAGCTGTTGCCAACGCTGGAATTCCTAAAATTATCCCTATTCACACTTTGATGCGGGGTCACGCCACTAGGTTGGACAGCAAGTTCCGATTCCCTGTTGCTTTAGGGCAGAATAATCTGACATTCATCTACAGAAGTAGTAAATGACTTTGAGGGCAGCCAAGTTCTTCCCTAAAAGTTATCTAACATTGAAAGGCTAGATTCCATCAATATTTGTTGCATGAAATCAAATCTAGAAGAGCCGGAGAAAGCTTTGTTCATACCTATTCTTTGATATGTACTCAAATTTCAGACAGCCTCAAACCATCATCTTGTTCCAAAATAACAACTATCTTTTTTGAGATCCTCTTCACTTCATCCACGTTTCTCAAAGAGTTGAACTTGTATTCAGATGCAATATCAAGGTCGCTCATCAACAAAGGCAATACTGAAGTTTTGCAAACTACAGTATTTTCCTTCCTCGTGGCTACTGCAGTGGCCAACAGCAGCGATGCGGATCCGAGAACAACACATAGAGGTAGAATTATCCACGGCCATCTCACATCAATGAAAGCCTCGTCTCTGAAAGCTGTTCCACGGATTCTGTGGTTGGAATCACGGATAGTGTCCGTGAGCTTAGTGGAAATGGAATCCACTACTTCAGTTATGTTACTCAGCTGCAAAAGCGATGTAATAGTCAACCCAGATTGGGCATTCTCTCCTAAAAAGCCCTTGGAATAAGATGTGCCGTTGAACACACTCTCAAGTGCGATGGGTAAGTCTTCTAAGATAACATCAGGGACATAATAGGATGTGTCATTGGACAGAGACTTTGACAAGGGTGTCAACGGGCCGCCTGTTCGTGAAAGCAGTTGCTGAGTTTGCAAAATGGGGATGCCAGCGGCATAGCCGGAGTAGTTGGTAGGTGCATACTCCTTCTCACACCAATAAAATGCGCATTCCGTGAATGATAGCTTTGGTGATGCCGTGAGGTTGTTGGCGGTATAGATAATGGAACCATTCAAACTAATGGTAATGAATGAAACGATAGGAGATTCAATATCGAATATTTTCCCACTTTGTCTTGGAATAGAAGACCAGTAACCCATGTCAAAGAAATAGGTTGACCCACTTTGCGAGATCATCCCATCTTCGGGATGACTGAAGAAATTATTCGTGTTAAGAGTGACATTGAACCCGTAAGGCGCTGTGTAAGTGCAGTTGAGACCTGGGTCTGATAGAGTCAAGGAACTACCCTCTATTTTTAAGACAGCTCCTTGGCAATCATGAGTTGTCTGCTCAGTAACCTTTTCGCATTGGCCGCAGACACCCAATGAGACAAACTTTGGATATGAACAGCTTCCGCTACTGCATTCGGGTTGGAGAGAAGTATTTGAAAGCGAAAGCCCACTCAGTATAGCACGTGGTAGTAATGACGAGAGTCCAAAGCTAGTAACATTATCCGACCCAATATACTCTTGAATCCCAGAGCTGTAGTTGTGCGCGTATTGGATAAAAGCAGTGTCGTTTGAAGACTGAGTTGGCCGCAAGGGAAAAGTGAGAATCTGCTGTGCAAAAGGGTCGACAGCAAGAGCTATGACGGTGAGGAAAGCTCCATAGAATGTTAAGATGCCCGTTTTTGATCCTAGAATCGCCCGATAGAGTATCTGAAATGATCCGAAGGAACCACGACTTGCTTCGTCAATGGCTTGCATGTACTCAAGAGAGGCCGGCCTGCGGTACAGGTTCCACTTGAGCTGACCGAGACAGGCTGTAATAGGAACAAGAAGCGCAGCTTCAGTGATAGTCATAATTATAGAGATTACTGTGTTCGGCGCAGCAGTGTATTGCCAGTCTGCATACCGCGTGCCATGAATTCTGATAAGGAACCCGACCAGTGAAGCGATACCAATCACGGCAAAAGCAGCACAGATGATCTCCCATAGCCACGAGCCACTGAAATCAAATCTGCGTTTGTGTGGTTTATTTATCAGGGAAGTGGAACCTCGCGCCGAGGCTGTCCTTGAATAAGCGGTCCTCACATCAGAATTGAGACGATCAGACGATGCTCGTGACTCGGTGGGATCGATACTAAGCCGGGGTGAGCTTTCTCTCAGCTCGTGTATGTTTTCACTTGTATGATTCATAGGTGGAGTCAGCTGATTGACTATTTGATAGGATATTCGGAAAAGGACAAATGTTATCTGACTAGCAGAGGGCAGCGACACCCAAGTAAATTTGCCAAATCAACAATCTATGATGGATGGACAGGAATCAAATTGAATTTTGGAGGAGCTGAAAGTGTACCTGGTCTGCATCAGGCGACGAGACGGCTTTAATGTGAGCATATAGAGTCGGGTTTCCTACTATGTTGGGCAAGCGGCTCCAGACTGTGTGGGGCTGGGGGGCCCGACCTTACATGTACTAATCATAGATAAGCTGAAACAGCATTGGGCTCCGAGTCTTTATCAGATGACTAAGTAAGTAAGATTTTAATATGTTCTATTGATCTAATAGGATAGTTGAGAACTGACATCTGCTTAAAGTCTTACAGCGGTGGAATATCCATGCAATACGTGCACTTTTTAACCCTCGATGGAGACTGCTGTTGCTAGTATTATGATTCCCGCTACCACTGCGCGAATATAACCAGCATGAGTGTGACGGATCGCTGAGATCAATATGTTGGTGTCTCTCTACCGTTTGCCGGCCTTAATGGAGTGCAATGCATGCTTTATATCACTGCTTGATGTCCACTAAAACTACAGAGATCCGTTTCTCCCATATTCAATCTACTGCGTAGGGCGAGTAAGGTGGGTTTACAACCATCCTTACGTCAGCCTCAGTCTCATAACTACATCTGACACTGCCACTATACGCTAGCACTTGTTTTTTCTGATGGGACGCCTGAACCGGGATGACAAGCCATGAGGCTGGAAGATAATGGAACTAGTCACTACCAGTCCTGACTGCTGACCGGCGCTACGTGATAAGTTACAAATATTAGTAAGCTAGTATGAATTAGGAAGTTATTTCAAACCAGTCTAGCTCCCGCAAATTCCAATCTTTAGTCTTCCCACTGTAAGGCCGAATATTTCATTACTCTTATCTAAGAGAATAGGTCAACAAGCCATGTCCCATTTTCTACCTAATAACTCACTATACTGTACTTGGAAAGTCATTTCATTCTAGTAGGTCAATCGTTTGCTTAAACATCAAAAATTTCGTCCAATAGCAGTACATACTTCAAGTACTTCAAGTGGCACCAAAGATGAACCGACCTGACAGTAATAAGACTGACAACATTCAATGAAATTATCGAAGCGAAGACTTGATCGTAAGATGGTGGAACTGGCCTGTTTAATGAGGGCCTGATCGCGGTATTCAAATTTACTCTGTAGTAAGCCTGGCGAAAACACAACTCCTTCTCCACCAAAAACGCGGGTCCGTGCATCTCCTAATACTCTCCCAAGCTCCAGGTTTCTTTTGGACTTTACATGTTATTCCAAACAGGCCAGAAACTCTCGCCTCATCCAACTTCGGGTCATATCGGAACTTGAGCTTCCTTCTCCCGGGGTCCATGTGACGCAAGCAGGAGGTGTAAACCAGTCAATCCATTATAACATTTACTCCTGAGCAGTGTATAAGGGTAAATATAATGTTGGAGCGACATTTTAGGTCAATATTGAAGTTGTAGTAAACGCTTGATTCTTCTATCTAGGCACGCTCGGAAGGAGCGGTTTAAGATTACAGTGCTTCAGGTCACATGACCTTGCTTACTTAGTGTGACACCTCAGTCGTCACATGACGTACCACGTGACTGCATTGCACAGGCCACGTGACCTCCCAGACTCAGAGGATCGCTGACAGTAATCCCCAAAGAGATAATCAGGACGCAGGACTTATTAAATAATAAGATAAAAATTAGCTAGAAAATAAAAAAAAGAAACTAAAAGTGTTAATAAAAGATTTGTCAGGATCCCCTGGGGGGTGTGACAACCTAAAGACTACTATGACTAATTGTGTCTGAATGAAGCCTGTGTATTCACGAGGACTAACAAATCTAGAAAAGAAAGGAAAAAGTTATCTAATTCCAGGAATTAAATTATTTTATATATTGAGCGATGCTTTCTTTCTGGTACTCCCCAGCGACCTTGGTTATATTCCTCAGACATCCACCCGCCCACTCGGCTACGTAAAGCACAGTTCCTGTCCAGGGCATGTCAGGATGACTCCATTGGATCCATGACACATGTTTGCCTGACGGATCAAACTTAGGATGCGAATAGAAGTCATCGCCCTGAGCAATGGTGACTTCTGTATCAGAGAGAATGTCAATCGCCACCAAAGTGTTGTGCACGTCGGTTGCCTGGGTCTCGGGGGTCGCATCTCGGTGGTCTTCTTTGATTGCAAGCACCCACTGCGTATCGATGGGATGATTGCAGAAATCGGCATATCGAACGCCCTGGACTGTCGAATGCACGAGAACGACTTCACTTGATGCCGGGTCTAACAAATACAGACTGCAAGATTTTTCGTCTGAGAAGAGTACTCTTCCATCCGGCCTCATCATAATGGAGCCGCCTCCAAGCTCCTGCACCGTTGCATGTGCACTGTAATCTCTTGGTAAGACGTCCCGGCTTTGTCCGTTGAGATGTTGGATGATTGCAAAGCGACCACCTTCGGTAGGGTGACACTCCACCGAGTAAATAGCACCAGTTGACTCCTGTACCTGTTAGCGACAGACCAAGTAAGCTTGATTGAACAGAGCACATACATCAACGACTACTTCGTGCAGCGAAATGCTGTCAGTTGCCAACCGGTCCGCGGTGAGTGGGCTTGTCCATTTGCCGTACGGTGCATGAGAGGGAGGCATTCTCAGGATTTCCGGATGCCCAGAAATAGAAGGAGAAATTAATAGACCAGGATTGCGAGAAGCTACCAACAGACAGTGCAGACTTTCGCGATAGTTAACCCAGAGGATCTCTTCTGACTCACCATCAATTAGGTTGTTTCGGGACAGTCGCGTAGCAAGCCCCACTGGGATAATTTCATATTGCAGTGAGATTACATAATTATAATAATCAGTAACATGATCGGATAATGACCCGTTGGGATGGGCTGCCGGCAGTTGGCCGCTCTGCCTAATAAATTATAATGATAGATTTAAAATCAAGTAACTTAATACAATACAGATAATATATTGAGAGTCGGACTGAATGTTGAATTAATGTGGATATATAATAATATTCCTTTTAATTATAATCTGTGCAGCGGGATAACCAGTATTAAATACTTTATATAACCTGCTTTTATATAGTTTATATATCTTAAGTTATTGAACATCCAGTACATTCCGCGAGGTGGGAACCGTTGCTGGTTAGCCGGAACCAACAATAAATACCTTACTTATACGGTATCTTGTAGGCCAGTTGGAGTTGTGGATAATTTCTTAGTAAGATTTAAAAGGGAAAGATTATAATAATAATTGAAAAGTCAATGAATCTGGTTCTGGATGATTTTATAGTATAGAAGTGAGTGATTATTATATTATGACTGGTATATAACTATCAGTTGCTGTCATAGACAGAAGAGTATACTTGAGTAGTTATAATATTCCCTGATAGTTAGGGATTCTATGGTTATACTAAATACTTTTTTAGAAGATTCTACAGAATATATTCTTTGCTTTAAACAATGAAGCACCTGCATAGCTAGCATCTCACTACACCAGCTCAATCGGGTATAAGAATATGAATATAAATATGAATATAGATATGAATATAAATATGAAACAGTACTATATGACTGCACTAGACCCGATTAAGAAGCTAAGCTATCCCCACAACCTTGATGCCTGAGTCCCCAAAGGCGCACCCAACACCAGAACTGCCTTGCTCTCTGAATCGTGTAGAGATTCAACTCATAACTAATCTCCACCTACCTCGCGAGACCTAGATAGAGATAATAAGGAAATTCCAGTCTTGGGATCTTGCCAGTGGCAAATACTCATACCATGTTTCTTCCACTGTCTCCAGGGAGACGCGGTATACCATCCTCCTCTGAGGTCAGTGCCAAGTCTGCTGGTCACGTGGTTTCAGCCTACTCAATACCTTAGACAATTAGAGGTGAAATTAGAGCAAGTCTAAGAAAATTATTGGTGTCTTAGAGTACCACAGTGCTGGGTGTGTCTTTAATAATATAAAGAAATATGATATAATCTTGGATCTAGTAATCCAATCACCTTCGTCACCTTCTTGCATAGCTAGCTAGCTCGTCTGTATACATATCAAGCGTTTGAAATATTATTATTATAAACTGCCCCACACCTTGCCCGATCAAGTAAATGTGGCCAAGATAATAATAGGATAGCATTATTCTACTTTCTTAATAGATATATAGATTACCCACTTACTGTCTGTGCCAGACCTGTAATACTAAGATAGATAGAAGATGTCCTGCTATGATAGGATACCAGATAAGACTACTGTGAAATCAGGGACATGAAACAGGAACCTAATTCATAGGTGGCAGAACTTATTATTAATGGTCTATTTTTATATAAATGGGTGTGACACGGGACACCAGGAGGACCAGGCCTTGCATGTATTATACTATATATCCAGCCAGAATGGGAAACTTGTAGATGATCTACAGAATATAACATGGCAATTGGTTAGGTTCAGAATGAGTAATTCACTAAAGTCTGCGGTGTGCTAATTATGTAAATAACTCATATCCCCAGTCAATACTGGTAAAGCACCCTCCAGTCATCCAGCGATTGGATAGGTTAGATATGTTATGAGTAAACAACTAGAAGGCATAATACAAGCCTTACTGAATGACAAATACTTCAAAGTCTTGAAGGCATATTCTACATCATTCAGAAGAAAGGGGCTATTAGAACACATGTAAGAACATGACTTGGTTGATGCAAGATTGACAAGCTCAGGTTTCCATTCTATAGTAAAATGAAGTGAAAGGAACATAAAACTAGAGTTTCACACTATATCAAGGATAATTAGATTAAAAAGACTGATACTCAGGTCTTACCTCTTAATACTTAGTAAGATAAAAATATAATACTCCGGCTTTGTCTTCCTTTTTAGACCAGTGGACACCAGTAATGATATGTTTGTTAACATAATAAAGATAATCTACCCGTGGATAATTATTATATATTATAACTATAAAGTAAATACTATGATAAGTAATTTCTGACAGCTTCACCCATTCACATCAGTTGAGGTCAAGAAAAATATAATAATCAAAAAGAGGCAGGTATATGAGAAGTAGAACCAGGTATTAGTATATAAACTCACAAATATATCACTCTAATTAAAAAGAGACTTTCTTATTCTATTATCTAATAAATACTTTATCACGGACGTGTTAGAGTAGATAATCTTAATAAGAGATAATAATTTCTCAGTTACTGGCTTTGAATAATATCTAGTTTGGAATAAGTAAACCTTTCATTTATTAAGCAGAATTTCTGGCTTTACAGTTTATAGATAATTAAAGATATCTTATATCAGCTGGAAATCACTTTTACCTTACTAATTGAATTCTTGCTTATTTATATAAAAACCCTTGTTCCCATGAATATCCAGAGTTATCACATGCCCCATACAAAATTATATAAAATATCTAATATTTATAGAATAAATTAGACTTACTTTTTATAAACTTGATATTCTCCTCTTTTACATGTAATTCTTATATTATTATAATTAATTAACTACAATTTCTTTGTTTACTTGATGATTCATGATCCTGATCTAGATTCATTTACTACAGACAGTGAATTAAAGATAAATAAAAAATATTTTTCTGTTTAAAACCTTTAGATTAAGTCTTTTAAGTTATTTAAGTCATTTAATTCATTTGTTATCTATTTTAAAATTTAATTTTTCTTAATTAGACAGTAGGATTACTTCTTTTTAATAAGTTTATTAATTATACTTATCTTTATATATTTTATGATTTGATATCTAGTTTTCTATTTAAGACTAGTATCACATAATTCTGATTATATTATTATTTTATAATTATTATCTGACCATACCTCCTTTAATTATATAATTGAAGAGATATTATTATCTTTATATTAGATTTTTTTATACTAGACTATCTATTCTTTTTAGTCTAGTAATATTAAATTATTTAATCCTTATTATTTTCTCCTTTCCCAGGAAATTTCCTGACAGTTATAAGCCCAGCTTATCTCTACTGAAAGGTCTATTTAAAGGTTTAATTAATAAATACTTATAATAATAACAAAAATAAATAAGTTTACTAATCAGTTAATTACTTTCTATATTTAGCCGGTATAGATTAAAAATATTAAAATCATGGCTGAAGCAAAGCAAGTATAGTAATATATTAATTCTAATCTTATAAATAAGCCAGTAATATTAAAATAACTAAATAAACTAAAAATTTAAATAAATTAAATAAATAGCTTAAACAGTAATTAACCTATTAGCTAATAAATAAGAAATCTATTATAATTATATAAGAAATTATAAAATCTCTTTTAAAGAATATCAGATAATTTTTACTAGAATATTAATAATTTTATTAATTATATATAGTTTATTATCCTAATTCCACAAACAATCGATTCTGGATGTGAACTATTACTTTCCTGACGAACTTGGAGCCTTGTCACGGCCTGTGTGGGCCAGTGTCTGGGATTATGTTTTGCTGCTCTCGTGGCGCGCGACTTCGAAATCTCTGTGATGCCTCCGCGAAGTCCAGGACCGTTCTGAGGATACTGCTGTCTGGCGGGATATCTTATAACTTATTTTCCTTATCTTGACCTGCTTCTCCTAGTATATCTGATATTTTATTTAAGACTCCTCCAATCTTTTGCTGCAGTGTTTGACGTATTATGCTAAGCCGTAGGCAGTTAATAAGTATATATACCACTATCTCTGTAGCTCTATACTTGTACTACTCATCTTCCCGGAAGTTATGTTGTTTGCTATATGTTGCCAGCCATGAATGGCCTGTATAGAGCTACATAAGCAGGTATGCTCGGTTCCGAGGAAGTAAGTTATATAGATAACAAGACCTGCTAGATGATAGGCCTTGGTTAATACAGTGCAGGTACTCTCTATTTTTTAAGATCCTCTATTCTTGTTCCTACTCTTGATAGATTTTTCTGTATATGTATCCTTTCTTCTGTATAAGAAAATATTTGAAGGAGTATTTCTTATCTATACTTATTATATTCTTGGCTAGCCGGTCAGCTGTCTTGTTTCCAGGATTCCTGCAGTGACCCGGTACTTATTACAATTACAGTGAAATTCCTCGGGCTTTCAGCTTGCCAGCTGAGTGGTGAATAGCCTGGATAATATACTAGCCTGATTTATTCTATAAGTTTTTGATTATCTGTAGGGCAGACATGCTATCACTGAGAATTATTGCTGGCTTATAATTTATTTCCGCGCTCCTTTGATTTCTCTGTACTAGCTGGAATATTAATCTAGTAGTATAGTAAATTACTATGAGCTCAGCTGTATAGATCAACCAGTATTCTATTGAGCTGATACTGATTTGTTGAGATTTTAGGACCTGTAGATTGCAGTCGAGAGATACTGCTGCTGCATCTAGCTGGTTTTGCTTTCCCGATGCATCTGAGAAGACTACTATGTCCTGTCCTGAAGCCTGCTTTTGTAAGGCTTGGGCCTGTGCTTTTTCTCGGTCTGGTTTGATCTCAATCTCGGTAAAAGTCTGCGCCCGCCACGGTGCTAATGGCCTTGGGTCAATGGTCTCGGTTAATACAGTTCTTCCGGATACCGGTGTCATCACCTACACTCTTTGTTTATCTTACTAACCCCAGCACTAAAACCACGCTAGACCAAGCTTGGCACTAGACGAAAGAATGGCTCGATGTGGCATGGGGTCTCAGTTGCGAGGGGGTCAGAAATTAGTGCAACAGTGTCAGAAGAATCCTGACACTGAATAAGCTTTATTATATAATTAAGATAGCTCAGTATCAGGATCTTTATAACTAATACTGAATTATCTTCATCACGTGGAAAGATAATTTAATATCAAAGATTTACTATTAATAATAAATTATTTTTTTACGTGAAGATAAGTCTTCTGATTATAATAAAATTTTAACTTTATATAGTCTTAAGTAGTTGAATCTATACAGTTCAGTTTAAATTTAATAAAGAAATAAGATACATCTCTTAAATATATAATATATAATCTAGTTAACTTATTAAAGCTATATTTATAATAATCAAAACAGTTTATATACAAGTAAAGTTATAAGCAGATTTTAATTTATTATAATAATAAGATTATAAATTAAGTTATAATATATATTATTACTATTATTTTCTATTATTTATACTTTTTTCTAATTTTTTTTTTTATTTTTATTTTTATCTTCTGTAGTATTTTTTTATATTTAAATCTTATTTTTATTTTTATTAAATATTCTCTTTTTTTTCTTTTTGTCTTTATTCTTTACAGAGTTGTAATAGTGTTTAAACTAATCACAAGATAAGTAATTCTGTAAGTTTAAATATTAATAAAATTAAATTATATATTTAAAGTAATTCTGATAATAATTTAATTATAATAATCATATCTGAAATTAGCGGACTTACTTCTTAAACTGGAATTAGATTTATCTAAAGTAGAATTTTATTTAAATTTAAACTTATTTATAATAAAATAGTCTGTTAATTAATATTTAGAATTACTTCAGAATAATCCTGATTAATATAAAGATAATTTCTTATAAATTTTATATTTAATATATAAATATGCGCCCTTCCAGTTAGATTTAAATTAACTATTAATTTATATTCAATATACTACTGATAAGAGACTCAGTTATATACTATATTTAATTACTAGAACTAGTTATTTTATACTAAATCTTAATTTAAATCTAATATTAATTTCTGCTGAGCTGTCTATGCTTACTATTAAAATTAAAAATAATTATATACTGTATTTAATTATTAAAACTAGTTATACTATATTAAATCTTAATTTAAATTTAATATTAATTTCTGCTGAGCTGTCTGTGTCTACTATTAAAATTAAAAATAATTACATGCTGTATTTAATTATTAAAACTAGTTATATTATATTAAATTTTAATTTAAATCTAGTATTAATTCTAGCTGAGCCTTTTATATATATTCCAGTCTGGTATAATATTAATTTAAATTCTATTTTAACTAACCTCAAATTTAATTCACTGTAAAGTAAAACTTGTCAGGTTTTTATTTTATTATAATTAAGTTTAAATATAATTTTAATTTCCTCTGGTTATACTGCGCCCAGTATTCAGATATATATTAATTCAAGTATTAATACAGCACCAAATCTATTCTAATTTAATTAATATTATAGTATAATTCTTATTTCTACATTGATTTAACTAAGTTTAAACTAATTAAATTATAAAATTAATTCTAGTATTAAGATTATTTCTTTCTTCTAAAGAGATTAAGTATATTTTTATTAATTTTAATTAAATTAAAAATAAATTAGCTTTTAATTAATAATATAATAGAGTATATATTACTTCTTAAATATTATTAAATTTAAATTAATAAGAATAAATACTGGCTTAAGATTAGTAATAATATTTTATATAATATAATTTTTAATATATCTATCTCTCTGTATCACTATATAAGAGATCAGTATCAAAGTTAATTTATATTTAATTTTTAAATTATTAAAATTTATATTAAATTTAAACTTAGTCCAATTTTAAAAGAGTCTTAAAGAAAATATCTAATTTCTAGAAATTACTATTAATAAGTAAATCTTGATCCAGTACTATTAAAACTAAAGCTGACAGTATAAAAATTTTATATTTAAATTAAAGTTAGTCTCTGTTTAAACTCTATTTAATTCTAGTCAATATATATAATTAAATTTATACTGATTCTTTAATTAATTAGATCTGTAATAATTTGACATATTATATATATAATAATATATTTGTATTGCTACTGAGTTTAAATTAATTAATTTATAATAAATTTAATTCTTTATTTATAGAATATTACAGTATCTAATTCTATTAGAATTTAATTAAGATTATAATCCCCGTCCGTAGAAGCTATAAGATAAGTATATTTTAATCTAGTAATTATTAAATTTAAACTAACTTTAATCTATTATAGCATAGTACTGAAATTCTAAAAAATCTAAATAATAATAATTCTAATACT